GTAATTTATCATAACAGATAACTAGTTTGGAACGTTTTAAAAGAAGACTTAAGCAAAGGGTGTCAAGGGCACCTGTCTGGGTTGCATCCTGCCACCGGTCGCCATTACTACAGTTATTGCTTTCTTTCCTTGTCCCTCTCTGTGTTTGAAGTCACATTCGACTTCTGCCAGACCTATCATGATGAAATTCTAAATATCAAACATCTTTTAAGTAAATCTGGGCGTCCCCTGTAATCACAGAGCAGATCGGGGACGTTAAGATTGGCTCTTTATATGACTTACACTACAAAATAATCTTGACAGATAATCGTGTCCGAGCAGCCTTGAGTCGGGAGCGACCCTGCAATTGTCGGGAAGGAAGAATCAGACCTCAAATCGACCCGATTATCCTGCAGTGTGAGTCATGCTTAAGAGCTCTTATCCTGACTTAGAGTTTTTGGAACTTTTCATTGTTGTTGGTTTTGGCGCCCCCTGTGGACAAAGTGGTACATCTCATCTCTTTGCTGATCCTGTCCTAAAATTTTCCAATGAAAAATCTCATCCTGCTGATTTAAACAGACAAACATATCTGCCTCTGTGACCCTTTTGCATGGAAAGTGTTTAAGAAAGAAATGTTTTCACAGCTTGCTGTTGATCTCCTCTTCTGACACTGACCTGCCTGCAGCATTTACAAGCATAAAACATCCGAATATAGAAATAATCATTCATCTTTCTGATTGTCTCTTTAAGCTCATAAAGAGGCAATTTATTTCAGTCTGTTTCATAAAAACTCCTCACAGGAGCTTTAAGATAAGTTTCCAGGCGCTGTGAGGTCATGGCCTGATGGTCGGACTTATTAACCATTTTCTCTGTCCAATAATATTGCAAGGATAAACAATAGGACCCATTGATCATGGAGATGTGGTCTTTTAATATAAAACATATACGGATACTTTCTTGGATGACTAAATGTGATGTTTGTAATCTTGCAACAGAGGGTCTCACAGGGCTAGATCAGCATGGGGGCGTTTTATTGCTCATGAAATCAACTATTCTTTGTGTGAGAGGAAGAACGTTTTATTTCTAAACAGGCAACCTCTTGTTCTTAAAGTCCACTCTGATTGTAAATTCTCGATCTGCCGCGACCCTGCGACCTCTGTGTTTGAATGAGGATTAACACGGACGAAAGCCTTTGAGCAGAAAACAACCCGTCACAAGCTTCAGCTGCATGTGAGGAACAGTTGTTGGGTCTCTTTCCATGAAATTAAAAGGTAGCAGGCAGTTAACACGAGGGCCGTTTGTCCCTCTCAGCTGGAGCTCAGGAACTCCTCTGTTCCATAAATACAGGAATCAAACTCTGGATCAGGCGGGAGAAGGTGACAGGGGCCAGGGGGTGTGGACCCCGGGTGGGACCAATTGGCTGCACTGATCAAAGGATAATAAAAGCTGCGCGGCCTGCGGCACTTGTGTTATAAGCTCTCTGTGAGGCTTGGGAGCTCTCCAGTTCATTAGCAGTGGTGGTGCAGTGTGTTTCAAGCAGAAAGTGATCCTCTGTGTGCACAATAATAAACAGTCTGTTGCAAAAGACGCGGAAATCCCACCACAGCAAACTATAAATGGAGATATTAGGGCCTATTTTCTTTTATGTGCATAAAGCAAGAAGTTGGGCCCCATATTCAGACGTCATTATGTCCCCCCAATCCTCCCGTGGCTCGTGAATATGTGAGATAAGCGGTGGGAGTTTGGGAAGGCTGGAGACGCGAGGACTTTCCCAGGGGGGTCAGTTCACTCAGAGGCCAGCGGACAAGGACCGTTTCAAGCTTTCTACTTTAATGACCGCTGAGGCCGAGGGCTCTGAAAAGTACCACACATTGTACGCCGTCGCTGACTATACGACATTGTGTCATGTTACCTCCCAGCTGAGCCGACAAACTGCTGGAACAACACGGTCTCTGTGAGCGCGATGAGGCGTGAAGAGCAGGGCGGTGATGGATGTGGGGTCGACCTCTCGTGTCTGCTGCTCAGCCTTATTATGGACTAGATATTCTGCGGTTCATTTTGTCTTTTTTAATCACATATGTACCTCCCAGTTGACTGATTCTTTGATTGACAGGGAGAAAATGATTGGCGTTGAATAATGGCTTTATACAGATTTAACATGGAAATGTAGTCAATCAACATTAAGATTTCCCGACTTCCTGGAATGCATCAGAAATGGTCAACCCAACCTCCACTCAACAAATGAGGTATGATCACAAACGGAGATTAATCTGTTGATTTATTGGATGAATGAGTTATAACAAAGAGCTTCAATTTGATAAGTTGTTAAAGCTTTTCTGATTGCGACAACGCCTCGGTTTCATTTCCTATTGAATAAGGCTCACTAGCCGGGTTTTGGAAAAAAAACCTTCAGGGTTTGAGGCCCTGCACAGTCCAGAAAGTGCCACTTATAGGAGTTGACTTATAAAGGGATAAAGACATATTTCTAGGCAGCAGTGTTGTTTGCATTTAAAGCAATAAAAGTGGTTGTTGAGCTTTTTACCAAATATATTTCTACTATATTGTCTTATTGTGTGACGCACTTTGAGTTGCTCTTTGTTTGAATCTTTAAATTCAAGATGCTTTATTGGCATGAATGGCAACAACCGCTTAGGGCCCGACCGATATGAGATTTTTGGGGCCGAAACCGATATCGATATTAGGGAGGGGGAAAAATCAAGACCGATATATATATTGGCCGATATCTTTCTAGGATCTATCTATAATCTGTAGAGATACATTTACACATTTAGTGTGTTGGTCCCTCCAATGCAGTTATCAAACACTTGTGGAAAAGATATTTAATGAAGACAAGATGGTCACTCAACTGGAAAGTAACTGAGCATGTACGTGCATCACCGCTTAACACTCTGGAGAGTGATGATGCTTGTTGTAATCTTTATAGCGCCCTCTGCTGGTGAAAGAGAACTGCTAGTGTAATGCAATGAAACTCAAATGAAATGCTTTTTGTCTGGTCAATAAATCGAGTAATATCGGCGCATATCTGAGATCAATTTGACTGATTCTGATAGTCACTGGATGAGCTAATATCGGCCAATATCAGCTGTCCGATTAATCGGTCGGGCTCTACAACCTTTGTTGCCAAAGCAAAATAATCCAAGCAATCAACAGCAATGTAACATACACAATATTTGACAACTTCAAACGTTTGTATGAATGATGCTAGACTTACATCGCCTCGCCTTGATTTATCAGTACATTTGCAGAAGTTAGCATTGGCGTGTTAGCGTCGTCATAGCAAACGTGTTAGCATGAAGCTGAAAGCAAGTGTGGAAAATTTGAGGCAACAGAGCTTGTACAGCTATAAAAACACACTCTCTCTTTTTTCAGTATAACTCTATCCAATGTGGTCGTCTGTTGTGGTTTGGACTGTTTGTCAGACAAAACCAGCAGATAACAGTTTGGACTCGGGGCAAACAAATTAAACAATAAATTGATTAAGACTATAATAAACAGATTAAGATGTCAGCTGATAAAATAATTTAATTTGCAGCCTTATTTAGAATTTACTATTCTCTGTCAATACTTCAGAAAATCTCTTCAAACATCTATTGTGTGGCCTGTCTTTATCAGTGTGCCGCACCGTTTCCAAATGAGCCCCCTGTTTTTGTCTATTCATGTCCTGCACTAACGTTCACTGCTTCCTGCAATACCTCTCTCGCTCTGTTGATGAGTTGGGCGGGTTCTCCCTGCTGGTGATGCCTCTAATGGCTGTGTGCTCGCCTGAGGAAAGAGGATGGGCGGGTGGACATGATAACGGACAAAAGAGAGAAAGTGCAAAAGAACGAGTGACCCCAGGAAAACCTTTTTGTGTTTACTCAGCGGGTTTGGCTCCAAGTTGGTAGACATCAGCCGGGCAAAGGGACACATGTTGCTTATGGAGCTCATCTGGGATGTAGCTGCAGCTTTTTTGTATAGATATTAGCTCATCCAGTGACTATCAGTATCGGCCAATTTTATCTCAGATATGCGTCAATATTTCTAGATTTATCATTATATTCCATTAGCAGTTCCCTGTCACCAGCAGAGGGCGCTATATGGATCACAACCAGCATTATCACTTTGCAGAGTGTCGAGCGGTGATGCACGTACATGCTCAGTTTCTTTCCAGTTGAGTGACCATCTTGTCTCCGTTAAATATCTTTTCTGCAAGTGTTTGATAACTGCATTTGACAGCCCAACAAAATAAATGTGTGCATCTAGCGCTACAGATTGAACATAGACAAGAAAGATATCGGCCGATATATCGGATTTTTTCTCTCCCCAATATCGTTATCGGTATCGGCCTCAAAAATCCTATATCGGTCAGGCCCTAGTTTTTAAACCGAAAGACCAGACTCAGACGCTTCAAAAAGCCGAGTGCAGCTCTGACTGGATGAAAAAGAGACATCAGTATCTGCCATTCCCATGTACAGTATGTCTTTCAGTGTCTAATGAAGATTTGGGATTTGATCACATTTAGCGCTCTGTTTTCATTCTGTCTGCATTGTTTCCAAACTCGATGCCAATTCAAACACTTCTCTTGTGGTCTCACACGGAGCCGCCAGAAACGCAGCTCTGATATCCCTCAGAGGCCGAGCCAGCAGGTTGAAAAAAAAAAGTTGATGTTTTTCGCCCTTGTGAGAACTTCAGCGGTGGCTCTGCTTTTATTACTTTCAGCAAAATGAGAAAAAGAAGTTGATTAAGGAGACGTATCAAAGATCTTTAAACTAGATGTGTGGTTTATTATCTGTGTCTAACCCCCTGCAGTGACTCCATCACATCCAGACGGTATGATAGTTCTGATTATCTGCACAGTAATCACTCTTTGCACCGAGCGTCGATTGGAAAAAGATGTTCAATTACCATAATCACCCAGGCAGCTGCAGGACTGTTGTTCCTTTGAGGTTTCAAATGATCAAAGCGTCGATTGGTGGGACAAATTTTCTGCAACAGCTTTGTCATTTTTTTTCTCCCGACAGAAAGACGTTAAAGAGGTATTCACGCCCATCACGTTCGAGGTGGCGTACAGCCTGGGGAAGCACGTTGTGACGGGGCATCAGGAGCGAGATCTGCCTGCACTTACACCGGTGCTACGATGGAGGAAAGGAAACAAGGTCGCCGTGAGGAATGAGGTAAATACTTTTTAGCATTAAAATCCTTTTTTTTTTTTTGTCTGATTTTTTTTTTTAAGGAGAAGAACATTGTGAGGAAAAGTCGTCTTAAAAGCTTTATATGTGATTTTTCACACTTACATACATAAATCAAGTATCTCCTCTGAAAATAACTCTGTGAGTCATGACTGTCTACAATGGGTGTAACACCCGAGTCCCACTGTCTGTGATGTTTTCAGAGTTTTCAGAGTCCTATCTTCACTTTGTTTACATCGCCAGGACGGCCGGCTGACTCCTCCCCTCGTGTATAAAAGTTGTTTAATTGAGGGACTAGAGAAAAGAAGAATAACATACTGTACTCTCTGCTTAACTGTGTTTCTAGATCACGCTCATTTCAGGTAAATTTACATGCAGTGTGAAGATACGAGCATAATAAAGATCGCTAGCATTAGCATGCTAACACAACAATGCAGCGCCAGTTGTTTTGGTTTCATGCTGGTGCTCAAGGGCGACATCTGCTGGATCAAAAAATCACATATAAAGCATTTAATGTCAAACAAATAACGTGTATAGTTCATGGTGATGAATCAAGATTTTCACAGACCAGTCTTATTTTTTTATTTCTTCCAATTTTGATAAAATCTGACAGTTTGAACTTTCACTTTGCGTCCATTGAAACCCTGATATTCTTATCCTCAATTGCTCATCAAGAACTAAATATTATCCTCAGAAGGAATGTAGGAAACTGGCTCAAATTGAGGTTATAATGATTTGGTGTTGGTTACCAGTTTATTATCGTCTGTGTTAGCTTTTCTTGAGTGGAATCCAAAAAAGACAGATTCATTTATTTTCTTTGCGACCACCTCTAACCTGCCCCACATGTGTTCCTCTACCGTCTGAGCTTCATGAGAACAAAACGGTAGAGGGATTTACGTCTCTCAGCACCTTCAGCGTCCATCTATCTCAAAAGTCATCCTCGTAACACCAAAGTTTACTGCTTGACTTAAGTTTCCTTTCAGCCTCAGACCCGAAAGACCGTCCTCTGACTGATCAAAGAGAGATCAGATGGGGAACAGATTTGTCCTCCTGGTTGATAATCTCCTGGATCTGTCGTCTGACAACACAACACTGCCCTCTAGTCTGAGCTCAGAGTGGGTCATGTAGATAAAACATTATGAGATCATATTAACCATGCTCCTGCTTCCTCCTCAGACGTGGTTTGAGAAGAACTGCCTGTCAGACGACTGCGCCGCAGACCTGAGGCTTCATGGGAAACTGCTGCTCTCTGGGTAAACACCTCCACCGCTTCACACTTTAGATTAACTCTCTGTCTCTGTTTCTTCTTCTGCTGAGCAGAGGAAGCCAGCTGACGTCATAGGCCGTGTGGGTGTGGGTGGTGGAACCATGACGCATGCTTGGAGGATATCCATATGTTGTTCCATACTTAGGGAGTTCCCTTTCTCTTTTTATTGGGTATCTTTTTTGCTTTTAGGACATTTTAGGTCTGTCCTAGTTACGGCCGTTTTTATGTAAAGACCTGAAGAGCGGATCTTAATCTTTTATATTTATCCTCATAAGTAAGATCATACTCTATTTTAAAGGGAAGGTTTTGAGTTTTTAAAGTGGGCTCTGTGGATTTCTACAGTAGAAGGCAAACAGCACAGCATTTGTTTGGAGAAGCCTTAGACTGTATAAAACATGGACGTCACCCATTGGTTTCTGAAGAGGCGTTTTGAAGCCGAACAAATGATGGTCGCCATTTAGGTAAAGTTTTCTCCACTTAATTTTGGAGCAATTAAGAAAGAGGCAAAGTGGAGCTGAGGCTTCCTGGCAGAAACCTACAACGAGCCCAGCTGTCAGTCATCTGAGCCACACCCCCTAATTGTGCTAATGTATGCATTACTCTTAGAATTTTTTGTTGACCTTTCTAGTCTAAGTATTTATTAACAAAAGGGTTAAACAGTTATAGGACACAGAAAGTTACCTTTTAAGATTAAGTGGAGTAACCTCAACAACAAGACGATCACTATGTTATCTCAGCCACGCCCCCTAATCATGCAAATGTGTGTTTAACTCTTAGATATAATCGAAACTGGATAGTAAAAAAAAGAGGGAGTGCAGGAAGTTTACCAAACATGTTTAGGTATTTATTAACAATAATTATGGGACAGAGAAAGCAAGATTCTTTTAAGATGAAGTGGAGTGACCTCAACAACGGGACAGTGCGTCGATCTCTACGTTGTCATCCCCCTTCTTGTTTTTAATGTCAGAGTTGAAACCTTGGACCAGCAGAGTCCTGTGCATCAAGAACCCTACAGTAAGTGTGTACTGAGGTTAATATAGACTTATAGGAATTTCAAAATTCTATGAAAAAGTACGTTACCATGGAAACACAGCCAAAATGATCTAAAAAAGAAAAGTAAAAACAAGCCAAAAAATGCCCAAAAATTAAAACTCCAAGAGTTAAAGCATGATTTTAACAGTGAAAGCATCCCACAGTTTGCCTCAGAATTTAGTTTTCCTGAATTTCTTGCCTCTGACCTGGAGAGCTGATTTCAAACGGCGCTCAGCATGAGTAGGAGCACAGATGTGTTTGCTGTTAACAAGCATAATGCCAAAAAAGGAAAGTCAAGTACTGATGTAAAAAAAACACTTAAATTCATTGAACTTTTTGTTAGACCTCTTAAGTGGCTAAAGTATAATTTGCTCCTCTCCCTTGTCCATCGCCTTTTCATAGTTTAGCTTCTTTGTCTGGTCTCGGGGGGGCGACTTCTCCAAACTGGATCCATCCACTTAAAGATCAAACTCTGTGTGTTGATGTAAACCTGACTGAGCCCTGCTTCAAAAAGTCCAAACTATCCCTTCAAGGACGCTCTCTTTTCCAAAAAGTCAAAATAAAACAAACTTGATGTCCTTGATGTGAGTCTAAATATTTGCTTGCTGCTCATCCTCTCACATCCCACAGCTGTTTTAAAAGAAATCTATTTAGTTTCTGAAACGCAAACCCTTTATTTTCTGTTTCCCCCCCCGTCAGCCTGCACAGCGGTCACCATTTGGCCCTGGGAGGAGTGAAAAATGTCTCTCTGAATCTGACCATCTCCAACACGGGAGACGACGCCTACGACACCAACATCTACTTCAACTTCTCCAGAGAAGTTTTCTACATCAACTTCTGGCAGCGGGTATGTTGCTCCCGTCACCTCCCAGAGCACCTGCTGTTTATTTCCTCCAGCGCTGGTGTTTATTTCCTAAAATGTATTGATGTAGTGAATCACTGACATGACACCTGCAGCCAAATTATTTTTTTTTTTCTTGTGCGACAGTTTGTTTTAAAAAGACTGGAGAATATTAAATATCAGGAGTGCAGTCTAAACAGTGAGGCGTGCAAAAAGACAGATGAGCAGGATCATCTTTAAAACTGTGCCTGAGCTGTGAGTGTGCAGCAGGAGCAAAACAGATGTCCCGTCCTGTCCCGACCTGTCACACAGTACAGCCTCTCCAGTCCTGGAAGCTGTGTGCATGAGATAAAAAACAGAACACACAAGCTCGACTTAAGTGCCGTTCAAATCACATTATTCACGTCAAAAAATGTTCAAGTAGCCCTTCTAATCGGGTAAATACCCATCAGGATAGGTGACCTCATACCACTTTGGGAGGTTTTATCCCCCTTTAGGTTGTAGAGTTTTCTATTTGTTTTATTTCTTTAGCAACAGAACTATCCTGGAGAAACTTTCATGGATTCATTTGCACCCACTGAACTCAAAGCATTCTGTCGCTGTTAAAGAAATATCTACCCACAGCCATCCCACATTGAACCTGAGAGTTTGAGTTTCACCTCCAGTCCACACTCTCCAGCATGTGGATGGATTTCACAGCCTCCACCTCTGCCTCTGCTCACGTCAGTCCGACTGGATTTTTTGCAAAGAGGGCCAGCTGGTCTGCTCACAGCCGGAGACGAGGCGCCACGTCAGATACCTGCGCCGCCCTCCAGCAGCTCCTCACATGCCGGAGGGGACAGCATCCATCATGAAGTTATCTGACCTCCTCATGTTTATCCTCCAGCTGGGGGGTTTTGCACCCCCTGTGATGGATAAGAGCGTCTCCTGAAAGCGCACAATCTGTGTCATGATTTACAACCCCCCCAACAAAGCCTAAATTGAATTTAAACAGAACACATGCTGCAGGCAAATATTAAAAAAACAGTGTTTCAGTTTGAGTTTCGGAGCTAATCTAATGAACTAAAGCATGGATCAGGTTACCAGCTGCTGCAGAGGAACCTGATAAGTCAGGGTGGCCTGCTGCACAAAGGGAGCAGGAAGTGAGCAGTATGAAGAGATGACAAAGAGGCTCCTTGAAACATTTCTAATTACTACTGGAGAAGTCCGACGTGATGAAGTGAGAGTTAAGGTCAGCTCTGAATCCTCTCCCTCCAGGCTTTTTTTTTTTTCTCCAGCGAGCGAGCGAGTGAGGCGTGAACTTGTACTCCCCTCGCGGTGCAGTGTGGGGTGTGTTATCAGTTCTGTTGTTCTTGCTGCAACACAAGCTGTCAGGAAGCTGTGGAGGTGATTTAGTATCAGGAGCGGTGTCTTCACTCCTCTGGGACTCTGAGACTGCAGCAGCAGCTTCTGTGTTTTCTTATTTTAAACTCTGAAATATCTAAGTTTTAGGTTGTTTTTCTTTAAAGGCCAAAGCTGTGGGAGAGGTTCATAATGTTACATTTCTATAGCCGTTTTCACACATGCACTCCTGAAAATATCTAAAACTTTTAGGCTGGCTGCCCCTGAAATCTTCCTCACTAGCCTGTTCACACATGCACCTCACAGCCGGAGACTTCCCCTGTCATGGGGGAACTCAGGAGGCGAGACATGACAACAAAAGAGCGATGCAGAAGTGACAGACGAAGCAGCAGAGTCACTGCTTCGTGTACTTTGACACATTCACAATATCAAATGAAGAGTGTTTGTTTTCTTCCCACGTTTTTGGAACAAAATCTGTGGAGTCAACCAAAAATGAAAAAGGCTTAATTTGTATATAAGCACTGCTAAAGTCTCATAATACTGCTTTTTCTGAAGTGAAGGGATTCTGTGTTGAACTGCTTTCTTGGGTTTTTTTTTTACTCTTGGAACAAATGAGCGCTGTGGTTTTAAATCCCAGAAATCAGGAATGCA